TTTTTTTTTTTTTTTTTTTTTTTTTTTTTTTTTTTTTTTTTTTTTTTTTTACATATTCTCTTCTTCTATTGCACTAAGATAAAAAAAAATAGAAGAGGAAAGGAAAAAAAAAATTAAAAATTAAAATTATTAACGATCGATCCTATTTACGAGAGGAAGGAGAAGACGAGGAAGAAAATTTTAGATTTTAGGGTTTAGGGTTTAGGAAATAAAATTTGAAAATTCCCAGATCATGATTATCGATGATTTTCGAAAAAATTTCATTTGATTTAAGTTTTTCGTTTTATTGTTAAGGTGATCCTAGTGTCGTGATGGGCATTATATAGAACGACAATGGATTCATTATCGTGCTTTATGTTGATGGCCCAACAAGTGATACCAACGGCATGAACGAAGAATCGTAAAGCAATGTGAAGGTAAAACTAGGGTAGGTTTATAGTTTCGAACGTATTTCTCAGCGTTTTAAGGAGGCACCTTCGAGCTCACGTTCTAACTTCTTAATTGAGCAGCATTTGAGCAAGGATTTCTCTCGCATGCACTCGTAACTTGTTCGAGTACAAAGGGTTTAAGTAGGATACGATATGTATGTGCCTACGATCAACTCTTTCGATACTAAAATAATCTCTCATGTTGTCTTAGATTTTGTGTTTGTCAAGAAGAATCGCCAATGAGTATTATTAAGCTTTCTCTCTTTTATAGATTTATAGGGTTTCTTCTTCTTCCTCTCGGGTTCGGGACTAACTCTCTTGTTTCTCTTCGAAATTACACATTTTATAGATCTTTATGATGGAGTTGTTTAAAAAACGTTACGGAAGACGTCATGGACTCTTGTAGTCAGATCAAGGAGGTAGGTAGGAAAATATCTCGAGCAATTGACCACGAATTCCTTGTAGTTTTACGTTCCATAAGGTCCTATATTAAGTTTTCACCAAATCCCCAAAAAAAGTTTACAACTCAAAACAATTAAACAAACTCGATTAAAGAGATTCTCCCAGCTCATTTTTCTTGGGAACTGAATCCACGACCATCGTGCTAGACCTAGTAAACGAATCATTGGTCCTTCTCGAGGCTCTATTGGAGCTGTTAGATATTGAATGAGAAGCTAAAGAATCTCGACCATAAGATCTTTTAAACCACGATTAATTTTAGCGTATGAAACTTATTCTAAAAAGTGTAAAACCAAACATTAAATTAATTTTAAATGATTAAATATATATTTTTAGATTGATTTTGAACTTAAATATTTGTTATCATCTTAAACACCACAAAATTATTTTAACAATTTTGTTTAATAAAAATAAATTAGTTAAGAATAATTAATTATCTAATATAAAATTAATTAATGTAATAAAATTGATAAAATTAATTATATGCACAAACTCAATTAATTATTAATTTACAAAATTATTATTATTAATTATTTAATTACAATAAAGTAATAATGATTTTTTAAATATATATTTAATTTATTTTGACGAAAAAAATGCTAAATAAATGAATTACTTATTTAATAATTTTATTATCTAAAATTAAATAATGTAATAAAATTATTAAAAATATTATCTTGAGATATTTTGGGAAGTCCAAATCAAATCGATGAGAGTTTATGTTCAAAGTAGACAATATCATATTATTACGAACCGTCGGTTACCTTTACAAGAAATGTTTTTTTTTTTTTTTTTTTTTAAGAAATTGGATTATTTTTATTAGGATATTGACTTTTTTAAAAAAAAAATACATAAAAAAAAAAATAATTGTAACGAAATTAAATGAAAACGTAGAATTTGACATAATGGGAATGGGGCCGTCACAATCAAAGTGAAAAGAAACTAATTTTTAAATAAAATGGAACTAAAAAAAAAAAAAATATATATATATATATATTTAAAATAAATTAATGTGGTGTGTAGTAAATTGAAAATAAACGGACATTTTCTCTCCCGTTCTTTCTCCCCTTGTTTTTCTGTCTTCAAGTCATTGTTACTTACAAAAACCCAACAAACCCTAAAACTGTCCCTTCAATTTTTCTTCTTCATTTCTTCAAATACTAGTTTCATACCTCAATTTCAGCTCTTCCTTCCAAGAAATTTGCAGTTTCAGTATTGAAATTCATACTGAATCCGTAATCTTCTCAGTGGGCGGCTCATTTTAGAGAGAAAAATGGAGGGAATGCCGCTCCCAATACCCCGTACAGTGGAGGAGGTCTATGGAGACTTCAAAGGCAGGCGTGCTGGCTTGATTAAAGCCCTAACCACTGGTCTCTTCATCTTTCTTCTTCTTCCTTCTTCTGCTCATTTTTTTTTTTTTTTTTATCTGTAGAGTCGTTTTTACTATGTTGGTGTTGTTCGTCCTAGATGTAGGTTGACTGTGTAGTTGTTTCTGTACGAATTCCTGCACTTTAATCTTTCTCTTTGTTTTTTTTTTTTTTTGAGTTTTGCAGATGTTGAGAAGTTTTACCAGCAGTGCGATCCTGGTGGGTTTTCTCTTTCCTCTATTCGTCTCGCTATACCTATTGTTTGTCTGAAATATTTGAACTTATTTTGTTTTTAGAAATTTATTTGTCGCTGTTTTTTAGTTCTTCCGTATGTTTAGGGTCTTGAATTCTGTTTGTTTCAATGGGTCCGAATTGGCTTCTTTTTTTTTCTTTTTTCTTTTTTTCACTTTGATGAAGAATCATAGGCGTGTCTCCATGAAACAAGCGTTTCTGCTGAATTGATTTATATGTTTTTATTTGTTGTTCGTTCGCTCGTTCTCCACATCGAACTGGATAATTTTTTTGACCTTTTTTGTCGCAAGTCTATTCGGTTTGAGATTCACCTGTGCGTAGGATTTTCCCAATGATTGTTTTCGCTTTACTTGAAAATTTAAATTCAGTTTATTGAAGTATTTGGCGGCCTGGGGCTGTGCTAGAACTGGAGATATTTGTGCGTTTTTTTAACCTCTAGGGTAGATCTGGACATAACATTGTAAGTGGTTTGAGTCACTGGCTAAATTTGATACCCTAGTGGATATTCACTATCAAGCTGATGGGGTGGTGCGGTGCCGACACATGGTCACAAATTTTGAATCTCTTTAATAGGAGGTTGGAGAGGGAAAAATACTGCATATATGTCTATCTACTCAGGTTGTTTTAACTTTTAATTATGTTCCCTTGGTTTCTGCACTGTTAAAAGCAACATTCTGGATGATGCCTTTCACAATTTTAAAATCACGATTCCAGTGACTGAATTGGACCGAGTGCGCATTGGTTATTGTTCTATTGGAATGCTCTCTCTCTCTCTATCTTCCTTTTTCTTCACTTTCATGGACATTTCTTCTTCTTTTTTATTTTTTTAATCATTTATTTTTTTTATATATTATAGTAAAGGAAACAAGCAGAAGAGAGCCCATCTGTGTGTTTACAAAACACCGTTCCAATGAGTAATAAATGAGATTAGGTTATTATTACGAAAAGGGAGGTCAATTTACACCAAGAATAGATTAACAGTAGAAGTGGAAGTCTTAGAAACTGTGAAAATATGAAAGTTACACTTCCACCAAGGAGCCCATCCGAATCAAGTTGAGACATGGGTTTCTTTTCTCTCTTCTTGAAAGGATGACCAAAGAGCATAGTAGAGAGAAGGGTCCCCATGTCATTATGGAGAGCTGAAATCCAGCCAAAGGATTACAAAATGAAGTCCCAGAAAGATCTTGCAGCTCATGAGTTGAACAAGTGAAAATGAGGTTCTGAGGTTCTGGGGTGCCCTTGCACATAATATACAACAATTCGGAGATAAGTTGATCCATGGAGGTCTTCTCTGTAACCTATAATGGGTGTTTAAGCATGAATGACCCAATTCCTAAAGAACTAGACTTTTTTAGGAAACCTTCCATCCATAAGGCTTGATAAAATTTTTCTTTCACGACAATTCCAGCTGTTGCAAAATCTCTAGAGGAGGATTTGGTTGTGCAAAAAAACCTTTTTTTTTTTCCTGGATTCCAAGCAGCCAAGCCTAATAATTTTCAGCCAGTGAGCCTTAAGTGAATGAGGATATTGGAGAGCCTTGCCCATTCACCTATTTCAATTTTGTGAGACTTCTTATTGGTCAAAGGTTCCAACAGTGGAGTCTTATTTTTGAGCAAGATGGCAAATAAGGAGGGAAGATCATCTTTGAGGGTCAATTGCTCCAACCAAACATCAAACAATATTCAGCCCCTCTCCCAAATTTATGAGAGACGTGGTTGAAAACAACTTCTTTAAGCTTGTCAATGTACTCCATTGGCCCTTAACAGATGATAATGTTATCTGACCCTGTTTCAGATCAAGGAGAGATGCCACACTTGGATGAAACTTTCCTCCATAGAGCTGACTTTTCAGATTAGTAATGCCAAATCCTCTTGGTCAAGAGGGATTTAATCTTTTGTCTAAGGACAATCCCTAATCCACCTTCTTCTATTGAAAGCTTCACTTTGCCCCATCCTAGGAGGTGATGACCGGGCTTATCTTTGCTTCTCTTCCAAAGAAAATTACATTACTTTATTCACTCGAAGTTGATACCTTGGAAGAGATGGGGAAAAGGGACA